GTTGGAAGGTGTATCTTGCTCTATGAATATGGAGCAAAAGAAGCTAACTGACCCTCACAGGATGTCGTAGATTCATCATTTTTAGAAAATTCTACCTGCTGCAGGGTGGTTTCAAATTCCCAATACTAGACTGATGTTGAAAGTTAGAAAATATGCATGATCAGGAACGGATTGGGTCACACATTGTGCACCCCAATTATTTTATGGACAAGACAAGCGACATTTGTCACCAGAGACTAGGGGGAGATTGTTTCTATAAAAGCAATTCTGTAAAAAGGTGTAGTAAGACACCATACTATCAAATTTCAAAAGGAGTGGCAAAGAAATGAGCTCCTTCTTGTCCCTTTCCTTTCCTCCCCTGAGTAAAGGACAAGTATGGTGGGCTTTCTACAAGCCCCTGAATACACGACCCACAGTCTGCTAGGGAAGGCTGACCTGAGTGGTATGTACCTGCTTGGGAAAATGTCAGCTCAATTTGCTATAACTCTTTACCTTTGAGATTCCTCATCTTAGGGCTCCAAAGAATGATATAAATAAATGTAAAGGATTATGCAAGATATATAGGGATGTATCAGGAGCACAGCAGTTTCAACATATATTCAGATTTTGAAACAAGAAAATCAATTCTCATCTGAGGCTGGAGTACCCATTAGCTCTTGTTGAAGTGAGAGATGATTTACTGAGCCCTCCCTAAGGTTCCACTGTGTCATTTGATTTTAGCAACTCTGATTTTTTATGTTAATTTGGTTTTTCATAGTAACTCAGAACAAAATGGGTAAGAGATTAATGACCAGGACGTGTATCTAAAAGATGTATGCTTTCCTTTCTATACTCACATGGACTTAATGAGTTTCTGGTAGCTGGAAATTGATCAGCAAATAATAAAATATATATTTATATCTAAGACATACCCATTGCTCTTCTTGGTGCTATCAGATCTCTCTAATGTCCTAGACCTTAAAGAAAAGTGCCTAGGGTTGGGGAGTGGTGTGGGGAAAGCAGTAAAAACATGACGTGTTATCCAAAATGAACACACCAGCACAGATCACTTTCCAAAATGTTAGTGATTTCAGAAGATAAATGCAGACACACCCTTAAAAGAAGCATTGGAAAAGAGAAAAACTGGCCAGTTCCCCGAATCTCACTGAATCCAATTGGACTGGGTGATGACCCAGATCAAAGGCATGCAGTGATTGGACCCAGTGCCGGAAGGAACTGGCATCTTCACAGCTGCTGGAAATTAGCCAACTCAACCACACCAAGCAAAAGCAAACTGAAAGTAAATATGGGCGAGTAATTGAATACACATGGAGGTGCTCTCTCTTCACAAAATGCGAAGTTTGTGCGTTCCCAAAGGAGAAATATCCAGGTCTTCAGCAGCATAAAATCAATGGCAAAATCAAAATGCCTCCCCCCTCTTTCCAGACCAGAGACTGAACCTTGGCTGTATCGAAGGGAAAGGGGCAAAATGTCCTCTTGGTTATCACCATCTTCCCTGCCCTCCTCTACTTCTGCATCCCCTGCACCTAAATCGCTTTGTTTCCAATCTAATTTCTGAATGAAGTAAGATTTTTCAAATTTGGGGAAATTCTCCCCAGAAGAACAAGCTCTGCTATTTATGATGCCTTTGGTGGAAATATTATATGTTGCGGGGTGGTTTCAATTTCCCAGCATCAGACTGATGTTGAAGCCTGGAAATTATATGCTGATTAGGAGTTCAGTTCCTCAGAGATGTGATTTTCCAGAATACCGTTGTTTCCATGGTGCTTTGCCATCCTCTGATGAAAAGTGCTGATAAGATCACTACTGGGACTTCAGGGAAATGGTCCACATAAGGAATCACAAGCCATTTTCACCATGAATCCTCCTCTTCAATTGCTCCTCTTTTTACTTGCATGTTAGGACAAAAGAGATTAATTTACACCCCACTACCCACGCCCACATACCTCCCAAAAACCTTCCTGGAAGTACAGAACAAGGATGACAAATTCTTTTCTGTAGGTTCACAGTAGGAACAGAGGACTACCAGGATGAGGGCTTGGGTAGGGAAAATCTTGAAAATGGAAGCCTGAATGAGGCTATAAAGAGAGTAAAACAAAGTAGGACATTCTTTTCAAACTTGATTCCCTTTTTAAAAATACAGATCACATTCTCATAGAGGGAAACAGAACAAAATGCAGCAGCGCTTAAAGGATTTCCTCTCTCCAAGTTTTTCTCCGGTCCCTTAATTGTGTTCAAGCCTTGTTGAGTACTTTGTTTACGGTCCCTAGTGTGGTGATTTGCATCCCCCCTCTTTGGGTTGCTGTTGGCCGAGCTGGCAGCTGTCTCAGTCCGATTCTGTCTGGGAAAGGTAAGAATCTTTGCCTTGCTTTTTGAAAGATCTGGGAGAGAAATGTTGAATGCCTACAGAGGGGTAGTGTGGGGTGGGGGTGGGGGGCACCGATTTAATTCACTCACTGGAAGCTTTCTGAAAAGTTTTCCAAACTTAAAAGAATCCTCTGGAGCCATGTGTTTAAAAAAGAACCAGAAAAATAAAAAATAAAAATAAAATAAAAAAGAACCAGAAAGACTTCTTCTCCCTTCTGAAAGGCTTGCAGAAAGAAGACTGGTTGCACTGTGGGTAAGATTTTGCATTTGGGGGCAGGTGTCCCTTAAGGAATTCCCAAGGGAGTTTAATATCGGATAGGCACAAAGTGGAAGAAGGTAAAAAAATATTCAATGACCTCAGGCATTCATCACTAGGAATTCTCCCTGAGTTTCAATTTGAAGAGGTAAAAGCCATTTATAACCGCATGTGTCCATTGGTATAATAATTGGTGCGTATTCTTCATATACAACTTCTGTTTTATCCCAAAGCTTTCTTCGTCTTTGTATTTATCAATACAAATCATTGATTGTCTCCTTAGAATCTGGAGATGTGCATCTGCATATCTAGGTATATGCACACTCTTTGTGAAGAAGAATTAGGGTGAATGAGATGACTGGGGCCAGGAAAGGCTGAAGAATGCTTTGGTGTTACTTGTAATGGCAGACTTGCTCCTGTTCCCAGCACACAGATGTACTCACTGTCCCTTATTATAGATTCAGCCAAGTGCCCAATGTGAGAAAAGGGTGCCTCTGCTTTCTCTCTGGCAGAAGTTTGATTTGTGTACCTTTGATTTTGGTAACCGGGGAATATGATGTTCAACAGGGTAAGGTGATACTGAGAGCTGCGGTGGGTTTATTGAATTATTTTGGTGGTGGGAAGGAGACCTATGCTAGGAGATGGAGAGGAACTCTGCCCAGAACCCACAGTTTGCAGGTTGGAGGGATTGATGCTCTTATAAGGAGCGTCCCCAAAGCCTCCAGTGTATGTGGCCAGTGACCATATCATCATCTTCCCAGGGCAATGTCGGCAAGTGCTGAAATGCCCTGGTTCTAAGCATCCCTTATCTTCGACACCAAGTGACAGCATTTCTCCTGGATAATGGCTCTGTCTCTCATACAAGTACAAGAATGGCAGCTAGGAGGACCTCCAGGTACTCATCCTCCTCAGCAAGCTAGTGGGGCTCTCCTGACTTGGTGAAGTCAGGCTTCAGGGACTTTTCAGCCTTTTTTTTTTTTTTTAAATGAAAAAGCCCCTTCTCTGGCTTCCATTCTAGAAAAAAAGACTTCTGTTCCATCTCCCTTTATGACAAAATCATCAAGGTATTTTTTACTAGATGCAGGATGCTTAGAACAGAAGGGAGATGCCTGGGAACATCCGGCACCAATAGTTAAAGCAACCTAACAACCCAAGAGAAAGAAGGGAACAAATCTCTTCCAGGATTTAATTTATGTTTGTAGATTCACTGTATTAATTAAAAAGATGTTATTAAAACTTGTACAGATTAAAATATAGAGGATGGGTAACTTTGAGCTACACAGTATAGGGGTGAGCTTACAATAGTGTCCTAGTGTTATCTCATTTTTCTCTCAAAAAGGCAACCTGCAGCTTTAAAATTTCAAATAGCTTATCTGTAAAAAAAAAAAAGTATAAACCTGTAAGGCCACGTAAGGAACAGGTGGATATAGACCTTTAACTTTATTATTTGAGAGTGTGATGCATCAAGCCACCTATGCTTGAATGTTTAAAATATCTTGCTCCTGAAAGTGGGCCGAAGAGCAGCAGCATCAGCCAGGAGCTTGTTACAGACCCACTAAATCAGATTCTACATTTAACAAGCTCTCCACATGATTTATGTGCCCATTAAAGACTGGAGTTCAAACCGAGGGTTTCTTTCTTTCTGTGTGCACTTTGTGAGATTATTTAACCCCTCTGGACCTCATTTAGAAACTATTTCTAAACTCATTTGTAAACTAGTGAGAGTTAATGCTAATGCACACACAATGTACTGTCACATCCATAGTAGGTGCTCTGTAAATGACAGCGATGATGGTAATGAGGATGTTGATGAGAATCTCAGCATTGCCAAAAGTGTCCTCACCTCCTAGCAGGAGTATTAAGTGATCATATTTAAAGCAAGATGATTAGTTTCTCCCTCAACTGTAAGCATTTGCATCTCCCACCCTCATTCCTAAGTGAATTAATCTCAAATGATGGGTAGTTTAAAGCTTCCTGTGGCCCCACACACATATAAAGAAAGAATGCTGGGGAAGCCTAGGAACATGGATTTTTGCTAGCTTACCGGCTGAATTCAGCTGCCCCATGACTTCACAGCTGTTCCGGCTGCCCTAGTGTCTGTCCCTCCGGCTCTGTCCCCTCAGCTGGGTCTGCAACGCTGACTCTGGGATTTTCTTATGAAAGTGCCTGATGGGTGGGAGGAAGATCTGGAGGCTAGCTGGGGAAAAAATGAGTAATGCAAAGCCGTCTACTTAGTAAATGCTGCAAGAGAAATAAAAGTAAAAGCTGGTTCCTATCTCTGGGGACTCTAGAATGATTCTGACTTATCATGTCACTGAGCGGAGTTGGGGGAAGCCAAAACTCGAAATCTGCTGGCAAGGAAGAGAACGAAGAAAAAAAAAAAAAATGACAGGGAGGGGCAATCCGGTGGGGGAGGAAATAAAAAGAGAGAGAGGGAAAGACAAGCGTCATTTAGGAACAGAGGTAGAGCGAAAGAAGGAACTCCAGGATCTGAAAACTAACCATACAGCACAGTATTTTTCTATCTTTTCTTTTCCCCAGAGGAGATTCTTGTCCTGTCATTTTACTGACAGACGTGCTATTACAGGCTCTTTTCCCAGAAGTTGACCGAAGAAGCTCAAGTGCTGCTGTTTCTTCCCTCCCAATTCTGGTGGCTCCTCTGGTAATGGACTGCTTTTCTCTGAGGTATGTGGATGTCCTCTGCGGACAGATCTTCATCTGCAAGTTAGCTTATGCCTCAGCTTTGCGAGGAAGACTTCTTTTTGCTTTCAGACATAACCTCAAATATCCTTTTACTGGCCTGGAAATGATACGAGGTTATCTTTGGACAGCAGTAGTGAATGTTGGTGACTAAAAGTTACACGCAAACAGGCAGTTCTAATATTTACCTTCATTGCACAGAGAGTGATATTTTGATTTGGGCTTGAATTTGTTTTCAGTGGATGCTTAATATGTCCAAAGTATTTATCTCATTAAATAGCCTCAAGAATCTTCCTCTAAATTTCTTCAGTGACTGCAATTGCTCAATTCTTTAGCTGCTACATCGCTTCTCAGGGACAAAAGAGAATGATTTAACATGTCTGAACAGCAGACAAGAGCATTCACTGATTTCTCCTAGGCAGCATTTCAACCAGATGCTCTTGACCAAGAGTTTCAGATTTTGTCCCAAAATGTTCTGGTTCAAAATATTCAGAAAGGTACATCATAGTGAGGGCACGGGAAAATAGAGTATAAAACTGTACTGAAAAATCTAGCCTGCTTATTTTTAAAAAAACGTGTCATGGTCCACATAGTATTAAGATTCCTTGTTGAGTTCAATGGAAAATTTTGAATTGACAGCTAATTACTCCAATAGTTAATCTTATCTTTAAAAATTATATCCAAAAAAATTCTATCCTACAAAACTGAATCTTTCCCCCTTCCTTTTCCTTTTTCAAATGGATTGGAAGATATTGCCACATTTCAGACCACAAATCCTGGTCTTATTGCCACTGAATTTTTGCTGACCTGCACCCCCACCACGGTCCCAGGATACATGTTGCACTGTTAAATAATTACAATAAAAAGATGTGCTGTCATCTGCTGTAGAACATCATTCGTACACCGGCTTCTGGTCTTGTTACTGTTTGGTGGGCAGTGAATGGGTGATTTGGAATGCATGTTATGCTTGCAAACACTGGCAGAGTCGAAGTTGCCGTGAGTTTGGAACGGATTGTGCAAAGTGTTATTCATAGTGCATTCTCCTCATAAAGGAGGCTGTCTTTGGGATTAGGATTGAGACTTTCCCGTGTGTTTAGAAGAATGAGAAGCAATAGACAAAGTGGAAAGCCTTGTAAAACATTTGTAGATCGTCAGGGTATATTAAACACTGTAAAGTGCTTCCTGCTTTTTATATCTTCCCCTTTTTTATGGCTATCGCTTTATCTTGCTTTTTGCAAAGAGAATGCAAACACAATCAGGAAAAAAAAATATGACAGTTGATTTTCACATGCATCTGTGCCTCCTAGAAAAGAACACAGAGGTATTTCCCCAGCTCCTTACTTCTACTTGCAAGGCTCACCGTGATGCATTTCCCTGGTATCTTCTGTCCTTTCCACAGCTTCCACCCTGGAGAGACCCCCCAGGTCTAGTCCGTGAACTCAGCTGGGAAACGTCACTGGTAAAAATGACTGAAGAGCCCATAAAGGAGATCCTGGGAACCCCAAAGTCTTCCAAGCCAGTGACAATGGAGAAGAGCCCCACCAGCGAAGTGGTGGTCACCACAGTCCCCTTGGTCAGTGAGATTCAGTTGACGGCTGCTACAGGGGGTGCTGAGCTCTCCTGTTACCGCTGCATCATCCCCTTCGCCGTGGTGGTCCTCATCGCTGGGATAGTAGTCACTGCTGTGGCTTACAGCTTCAATTCCCACGGCTCCATCATCTCCATCTTGGGTCTGGTCCTCCTGTCATCTGGACTGTTTTTGTTGGCTTCCAGTGCCCTGTGCTGGAAGGTGAGGCAGAGGAGCAAGAAAGCCAAGAGACGGGAGAGTCAGACAGCTCTTGTGGCAAATCAGAGAAGCTTGTTTGCTTAAGACTGAATGAGACCAAATGGGATATGTGGCCTGAAAATCTCCCTCTCACTGTGTCGTCCAATTCACCCAGATCTAGGGTGGGAGAGAATGAACAGTGCATTGCAGCAGACCAGAGGAATGGGGGTGAATTGGGGCAGGGGGTGGGGGGGGTTCCGTCTTATGAAGAACCTACTTGTGTCTTCTTTATTGACAAACTTAACTCTAAGGGCTATTTCTAAGACTGAAAAATCAACTTTTTCTCAACACTAAACATTTGAGGGGTTGTGGGAGGTGCATGGCATTAGAAAAGATTCGGTTCACCTTGGGAAGTAGCCAAGGCAAGATGAGAAACTAGTCAGCTAGTTCTGGCACACCAGCAACCTGCCTCAAAACAAAAACAAAAACAAAAACCCACACTTTTAAGAAGTTGTGTCATAAAAAAAAAAATTCTGCCAAGAGTCTAAATCACCTTGGACTTTGCATACTTCTATGAAATTCTGTGATAATATTTTTTAATAAGTTGATTCTCTGGCATCTATTTTTTTGCTTTCCATAACTCATCACTGGTGGTACTTTTTCTTAAAGAATAAACTAATATTTTTTATGTTTTAACATTGGACAGTTTTAGATGAGTCAGAAGTTAAAAGGCAAAAGATGTAGCTACTAAATGGTGTGGGGGGGGTTAAATTAATATTAAAATAATCCAACCTAGCACTTTTGATGATTTTTATATTGTTTAATGTACATTTCATTCAAAATAATAAATACTTATTGCTGCTGAAATTTCTTAAATGCTTGTTGCTGTTGTAGTTACATTTATTGCAGTTCCAAATTGCTCATCTTCCCTTGCCTCGTTTGCAATGTCTCAACTGTATTTCTCTCCAATGGGCATTTTGCTCCTCTCTAACTTATTCAGATTTTTTTATTTTTTATTATACATTCTTTCAGGACTTGTGAAGAATAGTATTAATTATGTTCACTGTGCTCTAAATGATTTCTATGCCATTAACAATGAGGAAACCAATGCCTGGAGTCAGGAATTTTATAATGTGTTATTAAACATGTATTATCTATTCAATCAGTTGTTAAGTATTTGCTTCACATCAACTACATGCCAGGCTTTGTATAGATTCTTAGGCTGCTTAAATGAGTTCGTTCTCATACACTGTAAATAAGATCACTGCTTGACTTCTACCCCCAGCTAGGACTCTACCCTAGAACTCTTGTCAGAAATATCCCTAGTCCATGGAGTTTAAACCACATGAAACTAGTGCTGGAAGATAGAGAGGCATGAAGCCTTTCTTAAACCTTGGCAATGCAAAGCAAAACAAAACAAACCTCAGGTAGCACTTTCAAGAGAAGCATTCTGTCAAGGAATTTAATTAAATATGGCAGGAGCCCTGTGGCACTGACTGCTGCCTGGTGCTCAAGTAGTTTTGTTAAGAGAAGAAAGGCTTTGAAGGTCAGATGGTACAAACCTGGAGTTGTTCATTATAGTAGAGTATACCACAATTATGTTAAACGCATGCACATCAACACTCCTCTGGGCCAAATGCAAGTATGTAGCATCATGTTGATTTTAATGGGAGGGAGTCTGTGCTTTGACACGCCTCTTTTCTGCTCAAAATATTCAAAGGCTCCCCATCGCTGATGAAGAAATTTCCTAGGCAAGTGTTCAAGGTTCTGCACTATCCGATCCAAACAGATGTATCCAGCTTTCACTTCACTCCAGCCCGAAAACTCATGAGTTAGCCAGATCAGACTATTCACCGTTCTGAATCAAACTTTGGTTTCCTGCCTCCCTGTATGTTCAACTTCTGTCTTCCCTCCTCAAGAATGCCATCCTGTCCCTCTCCATCTCAACATCTCCAATTCTGCTTCTCTTTAGAGTACCCCTTCCTAAAATTCCTTCCCTTTTAACTCAAAGTAACTTCTCCTTTGAGAGTCTTTACTTACTTAGTCTCTGATGGCACCTTTCATTTTCTACCATGTTGGTGGCATAAATGTTTTATCCACTTCCAGAGCTCCTTAGAAGGGATGATGTCTTTTTTTTTTAACCCTCATGTGATATCTAATAAAACGTCCTGCACAGAGTAGGTAGTTAATACCTACTAAACTAAAGCACGAAACATCAGAAAGTGAATGTTTTATCTAGAATCATACTCTATTTATTTTACTCTCTTAAAAGAAAATATTTTAGTTCTCAACTCTCCCCAAAGAGGTTGTCCTACTTCTTCCTGCCTCAACTGTAAGCTACAGATGTAGGTAAGTATTGACAACCTTTGTACTGCTCCAGCCCTCCCCTTCAAAATGCTTGAGAAGTAAACTCATGAATGATTTCAGGCCACTAGGGGGCCTCATGCTGCTACCTGAGTCTTAAAGGAAACACTGTAGAATGACAAATTACAACAACCGAAATGGAATCATATCTAAACATAGCAATATCTCTCCTAAATGTGAGGAGTTGGGAGAAGATTCTCCACTGAGCCCACTACCACTCTCCTCCCTAAGCCACTTCACAAGGGCGACATCTGGGTTCCCCCAGTTAGTGGAGGAGCCCTGAGAACCATCAGTCCCAGTAGAGGGTACATACCCCTGTAGAGCTGTGAGGCACAAGATTGTCCTATGTACTGTGAATTCCAACTCCCATGAGGATGAACTATGCTATCACAATTATCTCATAACATATGTCTTTACTGAGCAAGGTCTGTCTTTACAAATGCAGATATGGACTGCAGGCATAGGCATGAAGCAGGTATGTATGTATTAAAAATATAACCAAGCCCCATCCTGGAGCATCAGAAACCACTGTATCACCCAGCTGGATACCCTAAATCCCACACATCTTGGGTCACACAAGAACAACTTTTGACCTCATCCTGTGCAGCCAGTCTCCACCTAGGTGAGAACCATAGCCAACAAGGTCACTCTCCTCTTCCCACCTCACTGTTTTGGTTAATCTTGGGAATCTCGCCTAGAGGTGGAGATGGTCAAGGTCATATGGATCATGCAGGCAGCTGAAGCCAAAGGATAAGCCCAGGAGTGCCAGATCACAAATTCTCAAGCCTGTATTTTTGTACCATCACCACTCATAAAGGGGGTGAGGGGAGACCTACTGGTCTCCTGGAAGTATTATGGCTTTGAATTTAGAAGATCTGATTATGAATTGCAGTTCTTCTGTTAAACTAGCCAGATGCCCTTGAGCAGTTAAGCCTCATCTTTAAGGTTAATTTTTAAGAAATGATTTAGATTTTGTAAACTACAAAGTACTACATAATTGCAAAATTGCTATTGATAATATCTAATGTTGACTTTAGCTTCTTTCTCTACTTATTATCCCAACATGTCATTAAGCATCAAGCAACCCCTATTTTGGTTAATTGACTTTAATCAGTCACTCTGTTTAACCTTGACGTTATCCATAAAGGCTTTCTAGACCCAAAATAATCTGAGGAAAACTTCTGTTCCAAAGCTGAATCATAACTTACATTTCCTTGATATTGTTATAATTTTCAGTGCTTTTACATATATTGGAATTACTGTAAAGGCATATAGAATTCAATTAAGTGCCCTCAACATAAGAGAGATTAGGAGAGTGAGAAATCCTCTTTTTCCCACCACTGCCATTCAAGCCAGTCTTGTCTTAGGATGCCCCACAGAAAGGAAGACCAAAGGCAGAAATTTAAAGAGAAACAAAAGAAGTACTCTCCTACTTCCTGGCTTTTGAGCTTCCAAGGGCATCCCAGTGATTTAGGAATTATCTACAGAATTGTCAAGGATAGTTTGTTTATAGAGGATTTTTACATTTCTCCCTGACTTTAGTACTTAATCTTGCATACAGCAGTATTCAACTGTACCTAATGTTACCCAGACATTCTCCATCACACTTTGAGGCTGGAAGGGCATGTGTCCACCCTGCTCTTTGGAGAAGCAAACCGGTTTCCGAGAGAATGTCTCTTTAGGAAAGCAAGGCGATAAAGGTGTTCTGACACAGATTTTGGAAAAATTCTTTTTGAAGTTTAATGTACATAGAAGAAAGTGTACAGCTCAATGAATTCCACAAACCTGTAGAGCTAAAACCCAGGTGGAGAAACTAAATGCAGCAGCCTCCCAAAGTCCCCCTTAACTCTCCTTGCTGTCATTATCTTTCTGGGAGGACACTTCTCACCTCTAACACACAGAGTAGTTCTGCCTATTTTTTGACTTTATATAAATGGAACCGTATGGTGTACACTCTGTATCTGGCCTCTTCTGTGCAATAATATCATTCTTGTGAGGTGCAACCATACTGTTCAATGGTCACTCTCCCTGCTGTGTAGAGTTCCATTGTATAAATACATCATCATTTATCTTTCCTATTGTTGATAGACATTTGGATAGTTTAAACTATTAAAAATAGTTCTCGTGAAAAAAATAATTAAAAAAAATTTTTAAATAAAAATAGTTCTTGTGGTAGCCAGCCTTTCAGATGGCTCCCAATGATTTCTGCCTCCTGGCATTCACACTCCTACAGTAGCTCAGGGTTAGTTTGTGTGACCAATGAAATATGGCACAAGTGATGGCATGTCACTTTCAAGATTAGATTATGAAGACACTGACCTCTCTCTCTCTCTTGCTCTCTCTCTCTCCTCCTGCCTGGCTCTGGGAGAAGCCCTCTGTTATGTTGTGAGGACATCAGGAAGCTGCAGAGAGACCTGTTTGGTGAGAAATTAAGGCTCCCAGCTAATAACCAGAGAAGAGCTGAGACCTACCAGCAGCTACCTCAGTGAAGCTGGAAGAGGATCCTCCCACAGTGGAATCTTCTGATGACTGCATCCCCAGCTGACAGCCTCACTGAAACCTCACAAGACACCTTCAGCCAGAACCACCCATCCAGGGCTGAATTATATGATTTTTGTAGGCCCTAGGTACTTTTGTCTCCATATGCCCTTTCTTCCACTTGAAAGAAAAAGGAGAAAAAGACAGACAGAGGGAAAGAAAGAAAAGGAAGGGATGGGATGGAAGAAGGGAGAGAAGGGAAAGGAAGAAGAGGAGGATGTATATCAATTATTGCAAGAAGGAAATTGTACTGACACATTTTGTGGGCTCTAGGCACTGCAAATACTGGACCTAATGGATAAATTGGCCCTTCACTCAGCTAAGTCACTCACAAATTCCGGACCTGCAAAACCTGAGAGGTAATAAATGTCTACTGTTTTAAGTTACTACATTTTAAATATATTTTTTAATTTTTTTTTTATGATAGTCACACAGAGAGAGAGAGAGAGAGAGGCAGAGACACAGGCAGAGGGAGAAGCAGGCTCCATGCACCGGGAGCCCGACGTGGGATTCGATCCCGGGTCTCCAGGATCGCGCCCTGGGCCAAAGGCAGGCGCTAAACCGCTGTGCCACCCAGGGATCCCAAGTTACTACATTTTAGAGTAATTTGTTATTCAGCAACAGATAATATTGTGCTCTTATGAAATTTCCTCTACATGACTTTTGGTGTACATGCATACACATCTCCGTTGAAAACTTACCTAGGAGTGGATTTCCTGGATTAAAAAGGTAGGTATGTGTTAAACTTTACTGCCAGAGTTTTCAAAAATGGCCAAATCAATGTATTCTTTCACCATATTATAAGAGAGTTCTGGAAGCCTTGCACTGTCATCAATTTTTAAAATATTTTCAATCTTCCATTTTGGTCATTGTGACAGATGTTACACTTGCTTTTAAAATACATAGTTAAGAAAAGGGATGTGGCACCAGAAGCTGTGTTCTACTAGGGCAAAGCAGGCTAGAGATGGGAGAAGAGATTAGAGTGGAAAAATATGAATTAGATTTGGGCTTTGAAAAAGTGAAGCAGCAAGAGATAGATTCTCCAGGAGGTGCTCTGGAGATCAGAAACCAGGCTAAAAAGACTGAGAGTTGAGTTCTCAATGCTAACATTTATAGAGCTCTCATTATGCTCCGAGCTTTATGCTCTGAGCATTGCATGGGTGATCACATCTGATCCTCACCCCAAGCCAATGAAGGAGGTACTATTATTACCTCCATTTGATAGATGAGGACGCAGAGTCGCAGATTAAGCCAAGTAAT